GCTTTAGAATATGTGGGCTTGAATGAGTTCCTCTTTAATGAATAATAGGCAAATGCATAAATCACAAACCCCAAGCACCCGAATGGTGAAATGCACACTAATGAAGACCTGACTTTGATGGCAGGTGTGGAGTTGATTTGTAAAATGTCGTGAATATATCAGTTTTAAAATGGTATTTATTAAAAGAAGCAAATCTTCCGTGTGTTGCCCTTGCCTTTAGTCCCTCACGCCGCACACCTGCTCTCCCTGCGTGCTCTTGCAGGCTGCAGTCTCATGGCAGTTCCCTGCTATAACTCTTGCTTCAAGAACTGCAACAATAGAGACCAATTACCCTCTGTCTCCACTCTTATTGCCATGAGCCCGGGAGGGGAAAAAAAAAAAAAAAAAAGAGTGCTCCCCCTCCCCACTACCTTTTCAGTTTCAAATCCTCACCCTGTTGGTAGTGCCATTTGTGGGTTGGAACTCCCTGCTTTGTGTTCGGCATTATCTGGAGATTCACCTGGTGCTGATCCAATGAACCAACGCAACCTCACAAAGCTGAAGGGAAGGGTGTAGAGTTCTCTTTGTAATAAATCACATGCCGTGAAAAAGGATTTCTTTACCTCCTTTCCTCCATTATTCTCCATATCTCACCTTGTGGAAATGGGTCTGTTAGTAAGAGACTTAGACTCACATGGTTTGGAAAAACGAGCAGGGGAGGGAGGACTGAAGTGAAAGGAAGGCAGAGTTCCTGGAGGTTTCTATAGCTTGGAGATTCCAGAAGGTAGAGGCACACCCTAAAAGAATGAGAAGCAGCCCTAAAAAAATAAACCCAGCGTTGGCCTTGGTACTAAATCTTTATCAGTTCTAGAAAGGGACAAGGATGTTGTCATTGAAGCAGCTGCACAGGAAATCCTTAAAAGCAGTGATGTCCCAGAGGCAAAGGGGTTCTGTCCAGATAACTGCCCAGCAAGCTGCATGCTGGTCTGAACATCTTTGGTTTCACTGAGTTGAGCTGGTAACCTCTTGAGATCTGGCTGCCTCCCAAGTAGGGAGGGATGAATACTGCAAAATGTTTCAGTTTCCATTGCAATTTTGAAACTCATTTGCTTTGACTGAATTTGCACTGTGTTTATGTAAATTTATAAACACTGTAATAAATTTATCTACTTACAGAAAGCAGAAATTTTAGAAAAAGGCTTGGAAACATTCATGAAACACAAATTCTAATTCAACAAGAATATTCACAGAACCTGATTTAAATGTACAGTCAGACACAGAGCAGAAATATCGTATGTGGTCTGTATATCTAGCAAACTCTAGCAAGCATAAGCCAAAATTCAAACAACTATTATCAGCTTAAATATTTTAAATTGCATACATGTCATTTTTTGTGGTAGCAATGACTATGTGAGAAACAACCCAGGTTTTCACAGTAGGAATGAAAACCACAATCAGGTGCTACTTTGCTTGTTATAAAAAGCTCCCCTACTTCTGACTGTGCTTTTTTCCTAACCTGTGAGAGTCTGTGCCAGCACTTTTCGGGCTCCGTGGCAATGTGACCTGCCACATTTGTAAGAGCATGAATGGGCATGGTCATTAAGCCTCATGGAATGGGATATTCTGCAGTGCCCTTGCTTTGCAAAACCCCCAACACTCACCAATTTTGAAGCTGCTTTTGTCTTCCCTTGCATCTCTTGGAGTCTCTGTCTTCTGATTTTCTGTTTTCCATGCTCCCTTTCCAAGACCATCCTTAAACAGCCCTTTGATATAATTTAGGTGGTTTTTTTCTCCCCTCGTAATTTTTTTACTGAACAAGATAAATCTAATCTGTATAGGGCAGATCTGGAGGCACTTTCAAAATTAGGGGAACACTTATAGGCAGGTGAGGTGTATTGAAGCCAGTGACAACACTTGCAGTCTGAGCAAGAGAGCTGATCTCATATTGAAAGATTATGTATTGTGTTGGAACACAGGTGTTTCCCACCATAGAGCTGCTGTTTCCAGACTATATCTGTATTTCTACTTTGCCTACCCAGTGCTTGAAGCAGCAGGCAAACAGTTAAGCAGCAGAACCAGCAGCACAGTGTACTAAAAATGAGCTGGTTTAAAACTGGGAGGAGGAATTAAACAGCAGTGCAAGATGCAATTTTTAAGTCATCCTGTTCAAGCTCTTGCATTGGAGGTATTAGCCACAAGGGAGATCACATCATCTGGGAGCAAAAGAATATAATGAATGCAGGATCTGTAAGAGGCATGTGGGAGACTCTTGCCGTATGTTTTGGTCATGTCCTGATATACGTGAGCTTTGGGAGACAATTCTACATGTAATAGAGTCAATAATCAAATCTGAAGTACCAGGGAACACAACTTGATGTTTCCTTAGAGAGGCCATGAGTTTGCAGCAGATGAATAAAGAGAGAATGTGGTAGATACAAATTTGTCTTTAGGCAAAAAGGAAAGAAGAAAAAGGCTTAAAAACTGGGAGGGAGGAGAAAACTTTGCACTGTTTCCAGACTGGGAAGAAATAGTAATGCCTACATCAGAAACTTAATTAATTGTTGTTACATTGATAAAGATGTGATACACAACATCAAAGACTAGCTAAATGATATTTGAAAATTAATTTGGATTCCTATTAAATAGAGCTCAGAGGAGCTTCCCAAATGAATAACTTGTTTGTTAAGCATTGCTTCCTTCTGTTTATAAAGTCTTCTCAAGTAAAAACAACTATTTTCAACTGTTCTTGTTGCTTTAAATGAACTATGAGATTCATCATTTACCTGACATTTATGACACATCCAAATCCTGCAAATTTCAATGCCTTAGTTAGGAACTTACAAAAATTAGGTAATGCTTACTTCTATTCCCTGTAGGGATGACTTAGGTAAGGTTATCTAAAAGGTCCCAAACCCCAAATTTAATATTGACAATCCATGTAGGAATTTAAAATTTGTTTTGGCACGCATAGCTTGGCCAATTCGATGTGCTTTGGAGATGAACATAATGGAATCAAAATATACTCATTTTCTATAGTGTTATTAGTGTTAAATATTATTAAAAAATATAAATGTGACCCACTAACCATATAAAAGGATATAATTTCAGATTCTGAGCTCTTAAGGAAATTTTTGTACAGTAAGAATGTTGTTTTCTCGGGAACTGTGCCAAAATATGGTAAGAGCCATGACAGATTCCACTTTCATTAAATGAAAAACTTATTCCTCTCATTCTGCTCTTCTACCAGTTTTATCCCAGTGTAATTCTACCTACATCTCTGGAAGTACTTCTGATTTTTATTAATGTCTATGAGTTCAAAAGAAGATAAGATTTAGTAGAACTGAGTGGAGAGAGTTTACATGAAGACAAACAGAAGAGAGAGAGAAATCCAATCCAATATGGTTTGCTTTAGAGTGGGATGGAGACAACTTACAGAGTTGTCTGTGGAATTGTAGCTTTTGGAGTGTCCAGAAAAGAAATCCATCTGTTTTCTATACAAGCACAGAAGTGGAAGACAAGGAGGTGACTTCTCCCTGACAGCAAGCCATCCAGTTCAGCAGTGATGGAGCTGCAGAGCTCCCAGACAGCCTCATGGTTGGGTTGTCTAAGCCCAGCCCAGGGAGCACAGAATGTCTTTCTTATACAAAAGAATGTCCCATTAACTTCGTATCTTTTGGTTCATGGGAAAATATTTATTCATCAGTTTTGGAAATGAATTTCAACCTCTGGTTTCATCCTCTCGCTTTTCTTAGCATTTCACCTCTCTGCTCTTAGTTTTTATATTATTTTCTTTTTGCCAGTTAAACCTATGGCTTTTGGCCATCAGATCCTTAGAAATTTTTGTCAAAGGATAGCACTACAGGAGTAAATTTCTATTGTTTGCATAGGTGTGTTTAAAAGATTAGAGCTGAAAAGACCTGCTTGTAATAGACCGGGGATCGATGAAAGCTCTTCTTTCCTCAAGAAGCTTTAAGGCTTAGAGCGAGGTTGATTTTTTTGTTTATTTGTTTTTACTATAGAGGAAGCTGCATCTCTACCTGGGCTTTTATTATTTGTGTGGTCTTTCACAGAATGCCTGAGTAAGATCTACCCAGGGTCCACTGATCCTGAGCTCAGCTTGAGATGACAGAGAGACTTCTCTTCCTGCATGTATCAGTGGCCATAGATTGTCTAGGTGATCTCTGCACTAGGCAAGGGACATGATTTCCACCTCCCCCTATTTGTGCCACTTCCAGCTTTTTAATTTCTCCTGTGTTCACTCTAATGACAGCCTCTTGAGCTTCAGTGGGACTTCACAAAGAATGGGATACTACTCCATAGGACTGGGAGCAGCAGAATCAAATGTACTGAGAGGGATGTGAGTTAGGGCAGGAAGGAGAAGCCAAGGTGGCATACATGCTTCAACGCTTACAGGATTTGATGGCCAATAAGCATTTTAACTTGGTGTCTTGGTTGGCTAACTTTTGTGTAGGCAATTGCAGGAGGGGGAGAGACTGAGGCCCTGGGTTAGTGGAACAATGACATTCATGCTTTGAAACCCTTAAGCACCTACTTAACGGCCATCGATTACAATGCTCTTTACAGCTTTGCTGAGTCAAAGCCTGACTGAGGGCAAACTAAAGGTCTGGTGGTGCAGTGTATGAATCACCCTCGTAGCTACAGACCCTCAGCCAGAGCATGGGAGAGAAGGGGACCTCAAAGGTCAGGCAGACTGTTCCAGAGCCAGCCTGCCAAGCTGGAGAAAGGCAAAGGATAGAGTGAGCACAGGTGGTATGGAGGGGAAGAAGGCCGAATTACCAAAGGTGTTTCAGTGATATTCTGCTGGTCACATTATTTCTAAAAGTGGCCATTACTGCAGTCTTACCTCAGGAGAGTATTTGCTTTTTCCCATCAGAAGAACATATTTAAATACATCAGCTGCAGAATATAGCCCTAATTCTGCAGCAGAACCCAGAAGAGGTTCTGCTCTTCATGCAGCCCATACATGTCATTTGTGTGTGTTTGTTTTTGTGTGCATGCAGGTGCTCCCTGATGGGGTTTGATTTAAACCGGCACTGGGCAAATCCATCTCCTTGGGCTCATCCCACACTGCACGGAGTGAAACAGCTCATCATCGACATGTACAACAATCCGGTGAGTGGGGAAAGGGGATGCCAGAACAACCCCTTGCTGAGGTACCAACTCCTTCTCACTGCAGGGCTGTGTGAGGTGCAAGTAACTCTGACATGGTTTAATCCAGTGGTAAACCAAAATAAGGGAGAAGTCAGCAAGCACACACACACCGCATGAGATCGGGCAACATTTGTGTCTTTTGTCACAGGAAGCATCAGAAGTGGAGAGAGCAAGTGAAATGAAGTTCAGCTCGGATTAAATATGAAATAATTCTGCAAGCAGGGCCTAAATTCAATCGAGCTGCTCTCATGCTCTGAGCCGGATTCAAAACAGCAGGTCCCCCAAATTGAATTATGGAATGGCATTGATGCTTAATCCGGAGCTCTGGCAGGGGTTGCTGTGTAACATGCAGTGCAGGAGGGGGAGAATATTTGCAAATATTATATAAACACGCACGCACACAGTCATGCTCACTCGGAGAAGCAGAGGTGTTCTTGAAGGTGAAATCTTAGCTAATCAGAGGAGATGGATTGCGGAGAATATGGAGAAGAGGAGTGGGAGGGAGGCAGACAGCTATTGAATGTTTGACATCAAAGCACAGAAGGATTATTGAACGTGGCACCTAAGAAAAACTGCTGAAAAAAAAATGGAGATGGGTAGGAAAAAATCACTACCAAAAAATAAGAGGAGATTTTATAGATTATGATTTTTTTTCCTTGTAGAATTCCTGGTATTTGTCCTTTCTTTTTGCTTCCCACTACGGAGAGGGAATTTGGATCTTTAATGCCCTAAAGCTTTGCTAATTTTTCCTTTTATTTTTTTTCTTTTCCTTTTTGTTACTTTGAAAAAGGACCTGGTTTGCCTTGCTAATAAAGAAAGAGGATTCTTACCCCTGACTACATCATGTATAGGATAAGACCTTCTTTAATTTAACTCCTGGTTTTCCCAATACATCTTAATTGGACTTTTTATCTTCCACCTAGTAGTAATACCTGTACGGAAGAGGTTTTAGGTACAAGGAAGATAGGTTAATAGATAAGATCCTTACATATAGAGTGGAATCCAATTGCATGAAAAATATTTTCTTAGACTGCTAATTGTTTGGCAGAGAATTTGTCTTTCTAGTCAGTTCCTGCAGCACTTAGCATTGTGTCTCTGACCAAGGCTCCAAAGCTGTATCAGATTGATGATGATGATGATGGAAGGCACAGAAAGGAGCTTTAGAGCCAGCCTGGTCCTTCCTCTGTTTTCTACCCCAAATAGCAAGACAATTTGCCTTCTAAGAAGATGGAGAGAGCATACAGACTGCTTTGAGAAGAAAGCTTTCTTTCAAAAATAAAGACATGCTTAAATATTACAAGGAGTTCGGGTGTAGGGAAATGCTTGTAGCAAGTAAGGCAACAAATCCTGGCACTATTAAAAGTCACTGTCAGTAAAATAAAGCTATTCTTGGAGGCAGGGGGAAATTGTTTTCAGCTTCATCCCCTTCTAGGGCAGCTTTGAAAATTCTGGTAGTTTCCAGCTGCCCTGTGTGTGAAGAATGAATTAATTTGCTGTGGTGGGTAAAATGAAAAATCAAAAGAAATGTTTGGTCAGAATTGGTCTGAAATGGAAATCTTTTTTTTCCTCAATCTCTCTGTCTCCCACCCCTCCCCAGTGATCAACCTGAGATGAACCAGTTCCAGTTCATTTCTTTTGGAGGAAAAGAAAAAGGAGCCTTTCAAACACAAGTGTAACATTTCATTTTCAGGGTTATTTATTTTTTTAAAAAATACTATTTAGAAATTATATTTTTTGGATTGAAGTACCAGCAAAGTTCAGGTTGCTTTCCAGAATTCCATTTCTCAGTGAATTAGCTACTCACTAAAAGACCTTCTTGTCTGGTTTTATCATCCCTTAGTCAACACCAGCTTTTCTGACAGTTCCAGGGATGCTCAGCAATATAATGCAGTATATGGGATAACTGTTGTTTTCAGGCATTACCAGGGTCTTAGTCCCTCTGATACCAGTAATATTTGTATGGAAAGACCATATCCAAAGTGCTGGGACAAAAATGCCAGCTGCCTCACTGAGAGGGCGTGGGACTGTGCATGCACCATCCTGCTTTAGCAGTGACTGTTTTTATTAAGTTCTGACAGTGCCAGAATAAAACCTGCTTTGAATTCTTTCAGGCAGCTAAAAATGTTAAGTACTTTTCAGGTGTAGAATGTTACTTTCAGATGAGTAATACATGATAGATGGTTGGCTGCATGCAGAGGTGACCAGCTGCAGGAGGGCTGGTGTCAAACTGCATCAGATCAGGGATTATGCATTTGAACATATCTGTCCTGCCACCTTCTCCTCACCTGAGGTCTTCCCACACTCGGGAAAATGAAATGAAGTAAAATGCAAGGTCCAGTTCCCTGAAAAATAGTGTGATAAAAAAATAACCTTCATCCCTCCCATTCCAGACAAGATCTTCCATGAGAGGCTGCCCACAGAGGACTGGACTGTTTAAAGCAGAGGAAGTTTAGCTTCATGTTGGCATTGCAGAACAGCTCAGTGCAACACTTTTAGATGTATTCATTCCTTTAAATCACTTAAGGAAAATTAGCTGCCATAAGACCATAAAACCATGTTTTAAATATTGCTGTATAGGAGGATTTTTCTTCTGCTCTGCAGTATGGAAGATAAGCTGCTTCCTTTGAAAAAAAGTTCATTTTGGAGCAGGGAGGATGACTGACTCAGAAATAAGTGAAGTGAGTATGAGGCACACACACAGCTACAGTGATTCCAGCACTGAGTGTTCCAAGGCTGAGTGTTTGCTGTAGTTACTGTATAAAAATAAACCAAAGCACCTGTGGTTCACTGTTCTTCCGGCTTTTACAAAGTGTGCTTATTTTATTTTTAAAGTGTTTTGAATTTCATAATGACCCTATCATCCTTAGGAAGGAGTAGATGGATCAAAAAATGAGAGAACAATAGGAAGCTTTTGATACTCCACATCACTGATTTTGACACAATCACTCTGATGATCACTGTCATTGTGTTGGCATACACGAAGTGAAGGGATGTTCTCAGCTCTTTCTAGTGGTATCAGTCTTGCAGATGACACTGAAGTGACAGACTTACTCTTTTTGATCATGTGCTGTTGGCTGGAGATGTTTCTGTTCATAAGCACCTTTCCCTGCCCATAGAGAGAGCAATGTCTTCCCCCGTTCCACCAGATGACACATGTTGATGGTTTCCCTGTCTGTGCTGGAGCAGGTTAGCAGAATTAGCTCTGAACATGAATGTATTGTTTAAAACAACTCAGCTGACTTTTAAGTATGTTAAAGCATGTTCATATGAGCCATTCCAACAGCTGAACTGTAGATCCAAAAGTTTCTGCTTGGGCCTGGTAACACACTTCACACCGAGAGGTGTTTGGAGTATGAATGTCTATATCCTAGGCAAGGAATCCAAAAAAGCAGGTAATCACAGCTAGATCGAAACACATGAACAATCTGATTGAATTCAGCAATGTTCCTTTTGTGCTTATGGTTAAACAGGTGCTTTAATGTTTTGGAGTGGGGATCAAGTGGTCAGTACTGGCAAGGTCAAGATAGGGGTGGTCAACAGAGATCAGTCCTTACCTCTGGGTTAACATGAAACCTCAGACACAGAGAGAGCAGCATAACTGCTTGGTTGTCAGACAGGTTCCATATGACCATCCAGCACTTCTCCCAACAAGCAAATGCATTCTTTAAAACAGATTTAATGAGTGAACTCAGGTAGTGTGCTCAGTGCCAGCTCAGTCCCCTCGACTGTGTGCATTGTGATGTGGCCTTTAATCACAGGGGCTCATGTTATTCTCCCAGCTAGACCCCTGCCTCACTGAGTTCTCCAAATGGAAAACTTCCACATAATAAGCAGCTATTCAGCATTTTGGTTTAGCTTCAGTGTTCATTGTGCTGCCTTGTCCTGTATTTACTGTGCGCTATTGAGATCCTGCTCTGAGGATAGAATTGTTAATCTCCTTGTGGGCTCTTTTGTTTTGCTCATTGTTGTACCCTGGGAGCATTTCAGAAGTGTTGATTATTTTTTGGGGGGGGGACCCCTACGAGAGATAAATGTGTTATCCTTGTGTGGATAGGAAACAAACAGACAGTTATGATCAGAAGTACCTACTCGTTTGTGATAGATGATTTAAGATGCCTGGAATCAGATTTGTTTCATGTCATTCAGCAAAGATTGATAAGTTCATTGTCTTGTTTCTACCTCTTCCTTCTGTAAGGAGGATTGGGATAGACTGTTTCTGTCATTTGGAGTTCTTAGGACATAGAAGAAAAGGAATAGGTAGCTACTGACTCCTTGGAATGAATCTATTTCTAGTATTTTGCCCCTCCCAAATGAAAATGCAGAAATGGGATTCAGTGCTCCCAGGAACTCACACTGCAACACTAGAGTTTGTCTTCTTTCTTCCATCTTTCTTCTATTCTGCCTGTTTTCCATGTCCTGTTGTCATTGAGACTGAAGTCCTACATGCAAATGATTCCTTCGCTAGATGCTATTCACCTTGTGACCTGAGTGAGCTAGAGAAAACAAAATGATGACCAAAAAGAAAACAAAAAAGCCACTCACCTGGGATGTGCTTTTTAATTATCATCTCCTTTGTCATGCACACATATACTAAAATTTAAATTATTTCTGCTTGAGTAACTTTTCTGTATCCATTCCTGACTTTGGATTGCTTGATGTTGCAGCCTTTGCATACTTTTAATACTATTCTGGGTGAAAGTTTTCATCGATTCAAAGCAAAACATAGAGCTGAAATGAAGCCCCAGCATGCTAAACTCTGAGTCATCTGCTGGACTGGAACCTTTAGGTCCACCACACAGACGTCTGCCACCAGGACTGATGAATTAGCTGATGGAGGATGGCAATCTGCTGTTGCTGTGGACAGGCATGAGGGAGGGAAAGAGCCCGTGGGCTTTGGGGGTATCTGCTGACAGCAGAATTAGTAATAAGAAAGGATGAGTAAACATAATACTGCAGGCATC